TAGATGGTCTGCTTTTTATGTCAAGAAGTCGCTCTCTGGAGACCTGTACATTTAAAAGGGAAAAGCTGTGAGGGCAGGGAGGGATCTTGGGAGTATTAGTAGACCCTTCTTATGCCACATTTCTAGATTCACACTTCTCAAATTTCCAGTGTAGAATAGAGCTGAGCCGAAAGGACATTGGTTTTTTGATATTCAGTTCAATCAGCTGGAGTGATTTCATCGTTCATCTGACAGATCTCAGCTGAGATTTTCTTGAACGTTTGCTTTTCATTTAAATGGCTATTTACAAAAGAAAAATCAGGAGAGAAAACGTAAGAAGGATCAAATCTGTAGCTGTAATTGAAACCTGAAGGCACGAGGCTCTAAGCTAACACTGCATCCTGGAATGTGGCATTGTGATCTGTCACATCTTGTCACCATCACATGGGACCGTGGCTTGTCTGGAGAGCCACGTCTATTCCAGAAAGCAGCAGTATTTTATAGTAGACTGCAGGAGTTAGGTATAAATTCGAGTAACTGGGGATTACTCTGGATATTTAAAACATGCTATGACTCAAAACTGTATCATATTAAAAGTGCATTTTTTTTCCTTAGAAAAATGCAAATCAGATTTAAGATATCCATGTGAATTGTGAGGGTCTGAGTGGCTTCTGCAGCATACATGCAGGTTTCCATTCATGGTTTGATGGTGCCTGGGTTGTAACAGAAAGGGTGTTTGGGCAAAAGTAGTAAGGGAAAAATGATTCCTGTTTTACTTCTGTCTACATTAGACTTGTTCAGGGAATAGAATTTGGGACTCACATAATAAGTATGAAACCCGAATGCTTGACTGAGGATTTGCTTGCATTTCTTCACTATCATGCGCATGGGGATACACATTTTAAAGCTTTTAAAGGCATTTGTGAGAGATTACATATAGGCCATAAAATGTATTACCTATCAAAAACAAGAATCAACAAAGAACACAGTTGACTTGTAGGAAAAAACAAAAACCCACACCGATTTTCAGTTGTTCTCGGTCCTCTTAAAAAATGAACTTGGAAATGTTTCTTTTTTGTAAACTTTAATCATGACCTCACTTTGCTTTTCCGTATTTAATTTCACTGAAATGATGTTTCAGAAAAAAGCCTTTCTGGAAAATTTTTTTCTTCTATTACCCAGAATTGGAATGATGGCACTCGCAGGAGTGGGGTTCCAACCCTGGGATCAGCTGTTTGGCATGGCTGTAGAAGAAGGGGCATTGTAACCCTGTGCGTCTGTGTTCAGCCTTAGGCGGAAAGTCTGTTTCCGCCAGTAAAACCTAACACACTAAGGGTACTCCTTGCAGATGGCTTGTTTCCAGGCCAGCAGCACGCTAGACAAGGCATGTTGTTTTAAAGGCAAGGCTGTCTTGTCTCTCCCTTGGTAAACGTACAAGAAATCATTTTGAAGGAATCCTTCTAGAGCTTTTGGCTTCTAGTGCAGACAGACAGACACATGTGTCTTTCTCGACTTGGCTGAGAGCAGGCCTCAAATGTCTGCATCCGGAGTGTGGATACAGGGAAAAAAACTGCACTTAGCAATATATAACAGTATGCTTCCAGATTCATAAATAGCTTTGAAATGATCATGCCGTCATTTGCATCATTGTGAAATTTGATTATTATTATTTTTTTAAAAGCACTATTCTTAAGCCCAGAAATGCTTGCCTAGTGTTCAGCACAGCCCAAACAAGTTTTCCAGATGGGTTGCATGAAGTCAGCTTTATCCAGATTTTGTTTCTGCTAGAGGTTGTCCCTCGCCATATGTCCCTGCGTATTTTTCTTGCAAGCTGTAGAAAGTTAGAGTACAGTATTTAAGCTTGGCCATGCTACTATTTCTTTTATGCAAACCTTTTGAAATTTGCCTTCTCTCCTCCCTCATATAATTCCTTTTTTTCCCCGGCATTCTGTTTTCTGATAGTGGGTGTTACTTGAGATTTCCCAGGAAAGAGTAGGATTCCCTAGGATTGGATCTTCTGCCTCCCTCAGCAACTTGAATCCTTGTAGAATGACAGCTGACCTGGTGCTGGCCAACTCAAATGGAATCTTGATCTCACCGGTAGACCTTAGAAAACTCAAAAGGAGTGCTTTTTAGAATAGGCCTGCTTGTAGCGTATGTAGAATTAGTACCCATTACAAGGTCTTCCTGCTCACTTTAACTAGGCTCAGATAGGCTTTCCTGTGGATCAGATAAGTTGAAATAAAAAATTATGAGGACACAATGGATTTGCTTATTGTCCATCTCTTTTATATTTATTCCTTACCTGTTGACTTGTCTTGATCTACAGTATAAATTTCATGGGGTATAATGTATGATTTGGCACTAACTTATTTATGGGTCTGCTTGGAGTATATTTTCCTTGGGCTTCGGTTATATGAGTGCCATAAATTTTAATTACACTAATTAGACGTAGGTGGACGCTTCAGCCCAGTTGGATTCCTAACCCTGTTCAGCTGCCTCTGTCATTAGTTTGTTCAGTGACATGAGTTGGCACCATTTTCCAACACATTTTCAGGAAATTAGTTTTAAGTTAGAAAAGAACTTGCCTAATAAAGCTACTGACGTCCAACTATTTTCTTTACCTTCTTGGGGAATTGGACTTGAGTAAAATGCGTACATTTCAACTGTAACTTGTAGACTCTGGGTTTCTGATTGGTTTGGTCCTCGGAGAAGGAGCCTTATCCGGTTCTCCAGCCAAGCTGACTGGTCTCGGGAGGAGCCCAACTTGGTGCAGGGCTGGCCCACAGGCTCTAACACGTGGACCAGCGCCAGCTGATTGGCAGTACCTGCAGGGAGCACAATGTGGAGGACTGCCCTTTTTGTCAATTCTTTGAAACAAGCACGATAAGGTTACTGTCACCCTGATCTTATAGACCAGGGGAGATTATGCAAAGGACTTACACACTGTTTTTTTACCCATCATTTCCAAATCCTTTATTTTTGTCATTTAAACTTCACTTGGTGCAGTAATTTCACTGTTTACTTAGCAGAGTGAGTTTGTAGAATCAGTGTCATGGTGCTGAGAACACGATCTGGTAAGTTCATGGATTTTTCTGGGTCCGTCTCTTGCAGAGTCTCCAATATCCAGCAGCAGCTGGCCCAGCTTGATAACGAGTCCTGGCCGGGCATGGCTGAGGCCGACAAGGACCGGCTGCAGCTCATCAAGGAGAAGGAAGCCCTGCTTCAAGAGCTGCAGCTCATCATCCAGCAGAGAAGACCGGCAGAAGACGTGGCCCGGCTGGAAGAGGAGAGGAGGCGCTTGGAGGAGGAGATCCAGCGAGCCCGGGCCACGTCTGTGCAGGGTGCCACAGAAAGGTGGGCTGGCTCCCGGAGTTCCAGCTT